GGAAGCAACCAATCGATATGTCTCTCTCATAGAGATCTCTCTCTCTCTCTCTCTCTCTCTCTCTCTCTCTCTCTCTCTCTCCCCTCCCTTCCACTCTAAAAATCAATAGAAAAATATCCTCGGGTGAGAAATAACAACAACAAAAAAATCAATTTATCTCACTTGACAGATGTGTATGAAGCTCTTGAAATTTGCCAGGGACTATGCTAGGCTATGGGAATACAGTAGCAAACAAGACAGGCCTGGCTCTTTTCTTCATGAAACTTACAATTCTACGTTGGAAGAGGTGGTAGAGTGGGGGTTTCATGTGATTTGATCCCAACGTGACTTTATGACCTTTTCTTGACCATTTCCCCATTTTTCTTAATATCAACAAACTTCCTCTTAGGTCCTCTCTTTAGTGGCTTCCATCCTTTTATATTTGGTGTTCTTTGGAAAGTTCTTTCTGTACTAATCATCCCCAACATCTACCAGGTCTTCTCTAGCTAAACTCAACTTCTTTTTTAGGTTTCATTTTTGTTTTTGTTTTTATTGATGAATAAGCTGAGGATCTGAAGCAAACAAATTTTTCTGTGACTTACATGCATAGCACACTCAGTTTTTGCCTATTGTGACAGTGGCATCCACCATCAGCAACAGAACTCTATATTCCCTTTATAGGTGTCTCTCTTTCAACTCAGCACTTGAAGTTCCTATGAATTATAATTTCTCAATAATATGTTAGCTAATCATTCATTTATTCATATCTTTATTTATTCCCTAAATCTTCATCAACCAAATACTCTATTCCAGGAATTCTGCTGGGCCTTGGAATCCGTATCATTATGGATCCCAGAGTTTAGTAAAAAACACAGACTTTTGCCCTGGCTGGTTTGGCTCAGTGGATAGAGCGTCGGCCTGTGGACTGCAAGTTCCCAGGTTCGATTCCGGGCAAGGGCATGTACCTTAGTTGCGGGCACATACCCAGTGGGGAGTGTGCAGGACTCAGCTGATCGATGTTTCTCTCTCATCGATGTTTCTAACTCTCTATCCCTCTCCCTTCCTCTCTCTAAAAAATCAATAAAATACATTTTTAAAAAAACAAAGACTTTGGACAAATAATGTGAAGTATAATAAGTGTTAAAGAGAAATTTAGGGAAATACACAAGCTCAAGTAACCCTGAGAAAGGAAAACATTAAATTTTTTTTAATTAAATCTTTATTGTTCAGATTATTACATTTGTTCCTCTTTTTTCCCCCCATAACTCCCCTCCTCCCAGTTCCCACCCCACCATCCGCCCTCACTCCCCACCCACTGTCCTCATCCATAGGTGCACGATTTTTGTCCAGTCTCTTCCCGCATCTCCAACACCCCTTTCCCCCCCAAGAATAGTCAGTCCATTCCTTTTCTATGTCCCTGATTCTATTATGATCACCAGATTATTTATTCACTTGATTCTTAGATTCACTTATTGATAGATGCATGTTTGTTGTTCATAATTAGTATCTTTAACTTTTTCTTCTTCTTCCTCTTCTTAAAGGATACCTTTCAGCATTTCATATAATACTGGTTTGGCGGTGATGAACTCCTTTAGCTTTTCCTTATCTGTGAAGCTCTTTATCTGACCTTCTATTCTGAATGATAGCTTTGCTGGATAAAGTAATCTTGGTTGTAGGTTCTTGGTATTCATCACTTTGAATATTTCTTGCCATTCCCTTCTGGCCTGCAAAGTTTCTGTTGAGAAATCAGCTGACAGTCGTATGGGTATTCCCTTGTAGGTAACTGAGTTTCTTTCTCTTGCTGCTTTTAAGATTCTCTCTTTGTCTTTTGCTCTTGGCATTTTAATTCTGATGTGTCTTGGTGTGGTCCTCTTTGGATTCCTTTTGTTTGGGGTTTTCTGCGTTTCCTGGACTTGTAAGTCTATTTCTTTCACCAGGTGGGGGAAGTTTTCTGTCATTATTTCTTCAAATAGGTTTTCAATATCTTGCTCTCTCTCATCTTCTGGCACCCCTATAATTCTGATGTTGGTACGCTTGAAGCTGTCCCAGAGGCTCCTTACACTATCTTCGTATTTTCGGATTCTTTTTTCATTTTGCTTTTCTGGTTGGGTGTTTTTTGCTTCTTCGTATTTCAAATCTTTGCCTTGATTCTTGCGCTCCTCTGGTCTGCTGTTGGGAGTCTGTACAGTATTCATTATTTCAGTCCGTGTATGCTTAATTTCTAGTTGGTTCTTTATCATAATATCGAGGGTCTCATTAGATTTCTTGAGGCTCTCACTACATTTATCGGCGGCTTCTAGACAGTTCTTAAGAGACCTTAAAAGTGTGGTTCTGAACTCAATATCCTCCATTGACAGTTTTGTCCTGTTTCTTTGTCTCCGCATTTTTTATGCTTTCTTGGTGCACCCCCTAATGGTCTTTGTGCACAGTCTTGTTGTAGTTAAGCCTTGATTGTTGTCGGCAATACCGGGGGTGATTTGACCTCCAGGCTAACTGGCTATGAGAGTCCGTTGTGTCTTCAGTGGGAGAGCTTCTGTGCTGGATCTCTAGGGCGGCACTAATCTAGCGTTTGCCTGAGGCTATCCGGCAAATGGCTCTGCGCAGGGCTTGGGCGGGGCAGGTCCCCAGGGATCTACAAGGTGGGCCCGAGCAAGCAGTTATGGCTGCTCTCAGTCCCGTCCCTAGGGGCTCTGCCTCACAGAGTCCCAGCAACCACTGCAAACCTCTGAGAGAAAGCTGCCTTCGAGTTCCGACTGAAGCCAGACAGTCCTGCTTCTCCCGTTTGAGTCTGGGTCCCTAGAGACTCGCCCGGATCTGGAGCTCAGAGTCTGAAACTCCCTCCCGATTGAAAACAACAACCACGCCCTCCGCCTCCAGCCCGCTCCGCGTGCACTCCGCACCTTAGTATTTCACTTCAGCACTGCGCCTCCTCTGAGTCTGGGTATGATATTCTCTTTCCTCCTAGTTGTAGAATTTCCACTCAGCCAGCCTTCCTGTGGTTCTGGATGATGTCCGTTCCATCTTTTAGTTGTTTTTTTGAAGTGGTTGTTCGAGGCAGCAATCTCCGGCGTTAACCTATGCCGCCATCTTGGTTTTCCTCTATAAATTTTTTAGCAAAGACTTTCACAATCCATTTTCCCCCTTTATGGAGTACATTACTTGGAGTACATTTTCAACCATTCAAATAAAACAAAAAGAACAGCAACATTCATAATTAAAACATAATATCAACAAAGTTAAGTAACTTAGTCTTTCTCTTCTCTTGAAACATTTTTTTTAACTCACTGGAGGATATTTTTCCCCCATTGATTTTTAGAGAGCCTGGAAGGGAGGAGGGGGAAAGAGAGAGAGAGAGAGAGAGAGAGAGAGAGACATTGATGTGAGAGACACATCGATTGGCTGCCTCCCACACGTGCTCTGACCAGGGCCAGCAGTCGAACTGCAACTAAGGTATGTGCCCTTGATGGGAATCGAACCCACGACCCTTTTTCAGTCTGAAGGCCAAGGTTCTAACCACTGAGAAAACCGGCCAGGGCTCTCTTGAATATTTAAATTAGTATGGTCTCACAACAATCCCACTAACATGAAGTCAATTAATATATCTAATCCTGTTAGTAATAATCAATATGAGAAAATTTTTAGGACTACAGAGATTAAGAGGGCCAAGAAAGGGCAGTGAGATGTTTAATTTTATTCTATCTGCTTGCATAATATTTATCTCAATTTTAACTAAATTAGTAGATTAAGCCTTAACAACTACAAATTCCCCTTCTGTCAGTGAATATCACTCAGAAAAAACAGCATATAGGAATCTATTATCATTTAAAGCTAAAATATGATCCTGCTATTAAGATTTCTTCTGAATTTCAGATGTAATAAAGCTAAGCACCACCAGTCTGAATTCCTCTGAAATGTATGACCCTTTCCCCCAAACTGATTTGATTGTACATACTTGTGTTTTAGACCATCAGGGTATATTTAAAAATTCTTCATATTTTTAGCTTTCCTAATCATCCACTAGTCTTTAGACACTAGTAAAATAAATTTCCTAGTTAAGCAATAACTTTCCAACTCGATCCTTATATTATGAGACTGAACAGACCTGGAAACATAATTGGCAGGTAATGACTGAAGGAGACGATAAGCAGAGTGCAGATTTAATCCTTAAATGCTATCTCTCCATTCTCAGTTCACCTACTTCCTGGACAGGGCTAAAATATACCACTGTCCCCTCATTGATGTTTTATTATTGGGGAGTGTCTCAACTTGTTTTGCAACACTTACTGAGCCTTTGGTTCTTAGTAATAAGGTATTTGCTAAAGAATTGCAGGAGTTTTGCATGTGACACATTCACGTGTCAGTTCTCAAGGCAATGCCAGAGAAAGTACAAGTTTTTCCAATAAAGCCTGCCTTGTCAAAATATGCAGGTAATTTCATTTTCTGAACAATCCTCATAAAAACACTACAAAAAGATCAATTGAGAAAACATTTTACTACAGCAGAGGAACACATTCTTATTTTATTCTCTAATATTCATCTAATGTCTTCTACATGCCAGGTATTTCATTTGGCACTTTATAGCTTTCATCTCATTTAATTTTCACGATATTCAAAGAAATAGGCATTTTCCCATTCTACTGATAAGGAAAGTGAGACAGAAACTTGTTAAGATTACTTTGGTTGTATTAACACACATGCTCTTTAAATTTTACAAAATTTTTTGGAGAACTGAGAACAGGGAGGGGAACTATCTGATATCCTACCATTACTATGACCATTTTTATTATGCTTCAGTATGCTTTGTGTATTCAACTCTTTTCCATATTTCATGTTATTTCTTTAGTACAGATTCCCAGAAGTAGATCAAGAAACATGGACAATTTTATCAAATACCATACTTTTTCATTGTTATCATGTTGCCCCCCTAAAACACCACCAGATGCGAGGACAAGCAACTTGTCTTCTACCACATGGAGGGAATAATTCACCATAAAAATAAAACAAGTCACTGCAAAACAAACCTTCATGCCTAGCAGAGAGCATAGGCTTTGGAAGCAGACCAGGGGTGGAATCCCAGCTCATTCTCTAGAGTTGTGCTTCTTTGAACAAGCCCCAAACCTTCCTTTTGCTTAGCATCAGTTTCCTCATCTTTCAAAAGGGGTTCAGACTAATAAATAAATAAAATAAAAATAAATTTAAAGGGGTTAATACCCTGTAGTGTTATTGTAAGGTTTATAGATAATGCACGTAAACCATAGTGCCTGACATGTAGAAGGCATTGAATAAATAATAGAGAATAAGTCAACATTCCAGTGAAAACATTGCTACAGGTGTAATCAGGTAAGTAGGGTAGCATTACATTTAACAACACACAACCATGAGAAACTTGAGTGATTTTTAATTACATTCATTTAGGGGAGCCTTCTTTTTGTTGTTGTTAATCCTCACCCGAAGGTATTTTTTTCCATTGATTTTTAGAAGGAGTGGAAGGGAAGGAGAGGAAGGAACAGGAAGGGGGAAACTTCAATGTGTGAGAGAGATATCTATTGAATGACTCCCAACCTCGCCCCTGACAGGGGCAGGGCACTGGACCCTCCCTCGACCCTTCCTTCAAGGGCTGATGCCACAAAGCCACGTCTTTTAAAAAAGACAAATTGGGGAGCAGCTGGGGGAGCGCGGCGCCGGGAAGGGAGGTAGGCCGAGTGCGCGAGGCGCCGAGCCCCTCGGGCGGGCAGGACTCGGTGAGCGGACTGTACCGCTGGCGGAACGCAGGCGGCGCCCAGGGCAGCCGGGCGAGCTCGGGGCTTCGGTGCGCCCGGCCGGAGGCGGGACAGGAAAGCACCCGCGGTGCCGCAGCCTCGCGCCGCGGGAGGAGGGGTCTCTGCCCGCGGTACCCCCTGGGTGTGCCCCCAGCCCCACACCCCTGCGGAGGACACGGGTCAGCACGTTCCCGCCGTTGTGGGCTCATCCCATGTCATAGACCCCCCCCCCACCCCCACATACACACACACAAGGCCCCATTATCTACAGCCCTGACCGGTCCCTCTCCTCTACCGGCCCGTCTCCCCCGGCAGCGAGCGCCCAGGCCAGGACCCCCAGGACCCTCATAGGGGACACACGTTAGCATGTTCTCACCCCTGCCATCCCGCCTAGCTCCACCCCAGGCCTGGCAACCCCACTCCCCTCTGGCCCCAGGCACAGCCTTCGCTCCTCAACCGCTGTGTCTCCCCTCAGGCCACGCGCCGCCACCCAGGATGCAGCCCGCAGGCTGGGCGGCCGTCAGGGAGGCGGCGGCCAGAGACACGCTGGCGGCGGATCTGCGGTGCAGTCTGTTCACTTCGGCCCTGCAGAGCTACAGGCGGGACTCCGCGCTGCAGCCTTTTCCCACGTCCTATGCCCGCCATGACTGCAAGGACTTTGAGGCCCTGCTTGCAGATGCCAGCAAGTTACCCAACCCGAAAGAGCTTCTCTAGTCCTCTGAAGATAAAGACAAAGGGGCCTGGGACCTACTGAGCTGGATTTTATCCTCAAAGGTCCTGACAGTCCACAGTGTGGGAAGTCAGAGTTTGAAAAGATCCAAAAGCTGACTGGTGCCCCTCACACTCCTGTCCCTGTGCTGGACTTCCTATTTGAAATCGAGTACTCGGACTCAGCAAATGCCAAATTTTATGAGACCAAAGGAGAACGAGACCTAATCTACGCCTTCCATGGGAGCCGCCTAGAAAACTTCCATTCCATCATCCACAATGGCCTGCACTGCCACCTGAACAAGACATCCTTGTTCTGGGAAGGGACCTACCTCACCAGTGACTTGAGCCTGGCCCTCATTTATAGCCCCCATGGCTATGGGTGGCAGCGTAGCCTCCTTGGCCCCATCCTCAGCTGTGTGGCTGTGTGTGAGGTCATAGACCATCCAGATGTCAAGTGCCAAACCAAGAAGAAAGATTCCAAGGAGACAGATCGCAGGAGAGCGAGAATCAAGCACAGTGAAGGAGGAGACATCCCTCCAAAGTACTTTGTGGTCACCAACAACCAGCTCCTGCGAATGAAGTACCTGCTGGTGTACTCACAGAAGCAGGCCAAGAGGGCTTCAAGCCAGCTGTCCTGGTTTTCCAGCCATTGGTTTACGGTCATATTCCTGTACCTGCTGCTGCTGCTCATAGTGAGTGTCATCAACTCCTCCACTTTCCAACACTTTTGGAATCATGTGAAGAGATAATCTTTCTGGGCCGGGAGTGGGGACCACCTCCACCATGTGCCTTGTTTTGTACCTCCCATGCCCCGCATCCAGCCAGGTTGAGCCTGGGGGCCAGTTGGGGACCACAGGACAATTTTCATATGCCATAAATGTATCGATTGCCTTTGATGATGCTCCAGCCACACTCCGGCCAATGGGGATCACTGGGCCCTCACTCATAGGTTTTGGGGAGCCCTCCTGTCTGCTCCTGCCTAAACAGCCCTAGGGAGTTGGCTTTTCCATCAGGGCCAAAGGAAAAAGTCCTGCTGCATTTAAAAACAAAGTGTCCAAGCTGTCAGTGGTATGTTTACAGTCGCTCCTGGCGGACATTGGCCCTTTTTCTAATGCCTTCTGGGAGGCGGAAAATGCGTAGGGGGGACGATAAATCACTAGGCGGTTGCCTTGTTTTGACTTGAGACGCTCAAGAGGAATAGTCATGTTTCTCATAAAAATTGGTGGGGATCGGTTTTTGAATTCCATCCACCTTTGTAAGTACAAAATATTTTCAGTTTTTTCAAATCAACAAACAGCATTCTGCTGCAGCTGTAACCCCGTGACCGACCATGGATGAGAAAGGAAGGAGTCAGACTTCTGATTAAAAAATACAAACCTAACAGTGAGCAACTCAAGTGTCTTTTTCTAAAAATTACTAACTGCTAATTATAGCTGCAGGCCTGCCTCCTATCTCTCATGAAACTGCCTTGATTGTGGTCTGCCAGCCACAAGTGCCACGCCGTAGGCCCTCTGCCACTGTCAGCCTTCAAGACAGAGGCCTGCCTCAGTGTGTCACAGATATGCGTGGACTGAGCTTGCCTCAGAGGGGGGTCACAGGTCTTTGGGACTCAAACTGGGCAGGAAAAGCCCCTGGCTGCCCAGAGAGCTTTGGTTCTACTTGCCGTATTCTCTGCCCTTCCTCCCTGCCCTGCTTCAGCCATAATGGAGCCCTGTCTTATTGGTGGGGATGCGGAGGTTTCTGTAAGGAATGGGGAAACTAATTTTCTATAATTTGTGAAGTGAAAAAGCCACTATCATGGTTTTTACATTGAATATTGGAACATTTCAAAAATAATAAAGGTATTTTCCTAAAAAAAAAAAAAAGATAAATTGGGCAAGCTCTCCATCCCAGGAGCCATGCCCACACCTTTCTTCCCTCTCAGGTGTGCATCTCTCAAACTCTAAGGGTGCCCATGAGACTTTCTACTAGGGAAACAATGGGCAGCAGCAGCTCATCCCAGGCTAACCCCCTGAACCTGTCTCCAAGGCCCCTTTTCTCTGACTTTCCAGCGAGCCAAAGCAGCCCCATCTTGACTCATTTCTTTCCTATAATATTTCTAGAGAACCAAAGCAGCCCACCTAGTCTCTCTTCTGTCAATTCTTCTATCCTAAGCCCTTCCTTATTTCACTGTCCCCAGCTTTAATAAATGTACTCTCACCCTGGCCGGTGTGGTTCAGTTGGTTTAGAGTTGTCCCATGCACTGAGAGGTCACAGGTTCGATTCCCAGTAGGGGCACATGCCAGGGTTTCAGGCTCGATCCCCAATAGGAGTTGTGTAGGAGTCGGCAGATCGATGTTTTTTTCTCTCTCTCTCTCCCACATCAATAAAAACATATAAAAAATAAGAATAAATTTACTCTCAAAATAAAAATAAAATAAAAAATAATACTTTGATTATAAGATCATACATTACCCTCTATTAAAAGCCAAATATATTCTGGTAGAGAGACCTGGGATTTTTTAAAATAAAATTTTCAAATATGGACAAAAAAACACCTAAGTGTTCCACTATAAAACATCTATATTTTTAAACTGTCTCTAACTAGTATCACCATAATCTTTTTTAAAAGCCTAAAACATCCTCAATTAGAGAGTAAAGGGGTAAAAACTAAAATACATTTACCAGCTGATATTAATCCCTTGCTTACTGATGAGAAAATCCAATTTTAGAATTTGAAACCTAAACAAACCTGCAAGTGTAAGAACAGATTTGTGATTCTATGCACACAGTTAATGAATTAATTGGATGTTTACTGAGGACCTTTCTGAAAGACACTGCTAGGGAAAGAATATTAATTTAAAAGTGTGTGTATTCAAGATGCTCACAGTCTAATACAGCGGTTCTCAATCTGTGGGTCGCAACCCCTTTGGCGGTCGAATGATCCTTTCACAGGGGTCGCCTAAGACCATCCTGCATATCAGATATTTAATTACAATTCATAACAGTAGCAACATTACAGTTATGAAGTAGCAACAAAAATAATTTTATGGTTGGGTCACAACATGAGGAACTGAATTTAAAGGGCCAGAAGGTTGAGAACCACTGGTCTAATGGGAAAGACTGGTATATAAACAATTATAATACAATGTGCTGAAATGATCTCAATTCATGTGGAAGAACCAGGAAAAACTTAGTTAAGGAAAAAAGTAATGTTTGAGCTAAGACTTGAAGAGTAGGAAACCTCAGGAAAGGGGGTGGGGTGAGTGAGAAGGGAGATTCTCCAGCAGAATTCCAGCAAGTATAGACAGAGTACAGACGATCAAGGCAGTCAGGGAATTCAATATGACTAGCACAGGAGAAGCTGGGACTGAGATGAGACTGGAAAAAGCAGACCAGGTACAGGCTACAGAAAACCTTTTATACTTTGCAAAAAAGGTGAAAAGGTTTTCAGATTTTCATTTGCATCTCTGGCAACACTATGAAGGATGGGTTTAAAGATGACCAGTCAAGATTTGTGAGAGTGATCGATAGGGTGTGAACAGTGGGCATGATGAAAAGGGAGTTAAAATCTGATTCCTTTTTTAAAAAAATTTGATATAACATTTACATAACATAAAATCCACTATGTTAACCATTTTAAAGTATATAACTCATTGCTATTCCTTTTAAAAATATATATATATATATATATTATTGATTTTCTACAGAGAGGAAAGGAGAGAGAGAGAGAGAGAGAGCTAGAAACATCGATGAGAGAGAAACATCTATCAGCCACCTCCCGCACACTCTCCACGGGGCATGTGCCCGCAACCAAGGTACATGCCCTTGACCAGAATCGAACTTGGGATCCTTGAGTCCGTAGGCCGACGTTCTATCCACTGAGCCAAACCGGTCAGGGCTGCTTATTCCTTTTAAAAATAATTTATCTCCTACTAGGCCCTTCTGCTTCTAGCTCAATGAGAGATTAAATGAATAAATATCTTAACTAGCTTTTATTTTTTTAAATAGCTTTTTGTTAAAAATATTTTATTGATTTTTTAAAGAGAGGAAGGGAGAGGGATAGAGAATTAGAAACATCGATGAGAGAGAAACATTGATCAGCTGCCTCCTGCACATCCCCCACTGGGGATATGCCCGCAATCAAGGTACATGCCCTTGACCAGACCGAACCTGGGACCCTTCAGTCCACAGGCCGATGCTCTATCCACTGAGCCAAACCAGTCAGGGCTAAATAGCTTTTTAAAATCTTCATTTGCAGATTTAAAAAAATAAGTGGACCAAGCTGGTTTTGCTCAGTGGATAGAGGGCGGGCCTGTGGACTGAAAGGTCCCGGGTTCGATTCCAGTCAAGGGCACATGCCTGTGTTGTGGCCTCGATCCGCAGTGGGGGGCATGCAGAAGGCAGCCAATCAATGATTCTCTTTCATCATTATGTTTCTATCTCTCTCCCTCTCCCTTCCTCTCTGAGATCAATAAAAATATATATTTTTTTAAAGTGGTCATATAAATTCAGACAATACAGGTACATAAGGTAAAAAGTGAAAGTGTTTCCCTAATGAACAATCCCAACTGTCCAACAACAACCACTGTTAACAGATTGATGTGTATTCTTACAAAAGTTTCATTTTATATATATATATATAATATATATATGCATTTATATATAGCATTATTTTTAACATAAAAGGCATCCAGAATATAAAAGTACGTATTGCTCTCTACATGTTGTTTTACATGTAAAAATGGCTTGGATCCCTCCTAAAAAACCACATCAATTTCTAGTTCCAGTATATGAGTCTGCTCACTTCACCATACCTTTAAAAAAATGTATATTTTTTTATTTTACTTTTTGCCAAGCTAATAAGGAACCATTTTAAATTGCCAGCTTGTCTCCCCCCCCCCCCCGCCCCCCGCTTAGGGAATAGTTCAAATATTCAGAAACAAAAGATGGGATCTTTTTAAATTCAGCTCAAGTTGACAAGCATCAGAGATGTTTAAATGGGATTTTAAAAGCACATGCACAGGTATTGTGTATTAGAGGAAGCACAGAAATGTACAGGAAATAGCATGAGACTGGCCTAGGATTTTAGGTCTTGTTCTGCAATTTAACTGTGTAAGGTTAGCACTCGGTCTTCCTCATCTATAAAAAATAAAACTGGAGAGCATAAACTATTGCTAGTAACTGTAAAGCTCTAAGAGCATATGGCTCTAAGTCTCTAGTATTTCAACAGTGTTAAAATTCCTGTTTGGATTGCTTAATTGTGAATAAAGAATATTGTTATCTCATCCACTCGCTAAAACCAGTAAATTTCACAAGGAGGGATCTTAGTTTTGTTCACTTATGAATATCAAGCTCCTAGAATAGTGCCTGGCACGCTTGATATTTGTTAAATGACTGAAAATGGTTTAATAGCTTTCACTCCCATGAATTGATTTGAATTATTTGGACAGTTTGATAAACCTGGCATAGTTTTGCTCTTCAGTTTAAGTCTTACATTTCTCTTTTTTCTTGTCTTACATATCTGAAGTGGAAATGCTATAAACTGTTCTTAGGCGTCTATAACGGGAGTTACATCTTCTGACAGCAGAAGACTAGATATTCTACCCGCTGGACCTAAAGTCGAACTTCCCCCACCACCTGATAGGGCCCATACTCAAAAAAGTATCGAAACTTGTAGCTGTGTACACGCACAGGCCTAGAGAAGCCAAGGTGTCACATACCCAAACCCACTCTCAGACTCAACATCCCCAGAACACAAGCAGTTAAGTTTCTTCTCTCGCAAACCCCCCAACTCCCAAAAGGGCGGAATTGGAGGCACCTAAGACAGAACCGACGGGGAAAGGAGTCAGGAAGGAGAGAACAGACCCTCTCAAGCCCCACTCATTGGGAAAAGCCCGTGTTGCTGAAAACAGCATCCTCACCTCCTTCTTTCTTTGGGCAGAGGCTGAGGGAACCCCATATAGGAGCAGCAGGGCCACTGCAATGGTTGCAGAGACACACCAAACCCACGGACGCGCTGCCATGTTTGCTCCTCTCCCTGATAAAGGAAACTTTCCTCGGCTGGGTCTGCTGGTTGGGCGTGAGAACAAGCAAGCCAGCCCCATGGCCCTCCTCATTGGTCTAGCTCAGCCTTACCAGTGGACCTCTCACATTACGTCAGGGCGCTCAACTGTGAGACACCCGCTAAAGACGATTCACTTCTAATTGGTGTCTGTTAGCCAATAGAAAAAGGATAATCTGGAAGTTTTTCATTGGTCCGCTAGGATGCTGCCTCGCCCTTTCATTTACGGAAATAAGTCGCGCTTCGGGGCTCTTCGAACACGCATGCGCAGTTGAGAGGCTTTGCGGCTTTTCAGAGCCCAAGATGGCTTAAGCTTGATAAAATGGGGACTTTTTCGCGGAGATTCATTTAGAAGTCTGAAGTCCACCTCTTTCGTGTAATATTGTAGAAAAATTGGACCTAGCCATGTGATTGATAGGATCTTTCTTAGTCCCTCATTCTACCACCAAAATATTTCAAATCAAAATAATAATTTTAAAAGGCAGGAAAGTTGCCTCAGCGTTAACCTATCACCAAGAGGTCTGGACACACACCCAGGTTGGGGACTCGATACCCAGTGGGGGGCATTCAGGAGGCTGTCGATCAATGATTCTCATCATTTATGTTTCTATCCTTTCCTCTCTAAAATCAATTATATATATATATATATATATATATAGCAGGAAAGCAAAAATATACTTAATATCACTGAGTGAGATTTTTAAAAGTAAACAAGTAAGTGCTTGTTGAATACCTTTTGTGTCCCAGGGAGGTGCTGAACAGGGCGGACATCAAAGTCATTTTTAGAGAAAACAGCCCTGTAGGTTGTTTAGTGTAAAAAAATAAAAAATAAATAAAAAATAAACAAAGTCATTTTTAAAGTTCTTGTTTATTCATTACATTTTAAAAGTTAAACTTCTTATTGTTAGGACTGTAGGGCAATACAGTCCTTAAGGGCTATTTGTAAGCTTCCTGCCACAGGAGAACAAAAGACCAAGAAAAACTCGCTGGACACCAAGAGTCAGACCATACAAGGAATAGAAACTGTCCTGGAGGCATCTGATTGCACACCTGCATTCCATCCACATTCCAAGCCCACCAGCTCAGCCTCCAAACCCACTGAAGGCAAGTTTCCCACCAGGGACAGTATATAAGGAAGAAACCCCCGCTCCTGGGTGTTATCATCTACCTGATGACCCCTTGGCTGGGTGCTGTGCAGTCCTTCCCTTTGGATATCCCATCTCCCATCCCCTTTCCCTAAATAAATTCCATTTTCTTTTAGCACACTTATTACTTGAGGCATCAACAGGGACTTTTTGTTTGGCGGATGGGTGCAAAACTAAGGTTGTAAGGAAACACTTCTGTCTTTTTAAAGTTATTTGTGTCATAACTTTCATTAAACGTCCAATTACCCTATCTAAAACATTATAGAGCCGAACCGGTTTGGCTCAGTGGATAGAGCGTTGGCCTGCAGACTCAAGGGTCCGGGGTTCGATTCCGGTCAAGGGCATGTACCTTGGTTGCGGGCACATCCCTACTGGGGGGCGTGCAGGAGGCAGCTGATCGATCTCTCTCATCGATGTTTCTAGCTCTCTATCCCTCTCCCTTCTTCTCTGTAAAAATTCAATAAAATATATTTTAAAAAATAAAATAAAAATAAAACATAATAGAAACCCTACATAACTGAAGAAGTTTCCATTTATTTGGCCCGGGTATGTTTATCATAGTGAGTTGTAAAACTGGGATGATTTTAATAGGGAATAATAATATATTCAAGAGGAAAAACACAATAAAATCAATTGCCTGTAATTTAGATTTGTTTTGATAATGTGGAACATCATCAGACTATTCTTTTACGCTCTGCTGGTAAACTCAGGCACACAGAGGAAAATAATGTCATTATGTTGAAGAGTCAAGAAAGTGAGTATAGAAAAGAAAACAGCTGGTTCTGAAGTGAAGAGATACAATAGAGCCCTAGCTGGTTTGGCTCAGTGGACAGAGTGTCAGCCTGCAGACTGAAGGGTCCCGGGTTCGATTCCAGTCAAGGGCACATGCCCAGGTTGCGGGCTGGATCCCCAGTAGGGAGAATGCAGGAGGTCAGCCAATCAATGCTTCTCTCTCATTACTGATGTTTCTCTCTCTCTCCCTCTCCCTTCCTCTCTGAAATCAGTAAAAATGTATTTTAAAAAAAGAGATGTAATCGAGAGATATTTTAAAAATTAAAAATGTTTACAGACATTCAAAATAAGAAAAATACAATGAGACATACAGTATGATTCCATTTATATGATGTTCTGGAAAAGGCAAACTCATAGGAAAAGAACAGGTTAGTGGATATCAGGTGCTGGAGGTTGGAAGAAGGGCCACATATATTTGTGATTTGAAACTGTTCTGTCCTTAATTGTTAGAGTGGCTACACATTCCTATGCACTTGTCAAAACTCACAGAACTGTACACCCAAAAAAAGCAAGTTTTACTGCATGTAAATTTGACATATAAAAAGTAAGGTAAATTTTTAAAGTATACAAAGACATTCATTATCTCACTTGGCAAAATTCAGTAGAAGCTTTTATCAAGGCTGTGGGAAAATTGGCATCCTCATACATTGCTGGTGGGAATGCAAAGTGCTGCATCTATGAAAGGTAATTTGGCAATATCTAAAAAAAATGCAAATGCATTTACTTTTTTTAAAAATCCTCACCTGAGGATATTTTTTCATTGATTTTTAGAGAGAGTGGAAGGGAGGGGGAGAGACAGAGAGAAGCGACAGGGCCAGGAATCGAACCTGTAACAGAGGCACACAACCTTGACCCTAAGTGAACCCAAGACCTTTCAGTCCCCATGGGCCAACACTCTATCTACTGAGCCAAACCAACCAGGGGCACGTTTACCTTTTGATCCAGCAATTATACTTCTAGTATTAAGAGAATATATGTGCACAGTTGTTTATTTCAGCACTATTTGTAATTGAAATATTCTTTTTTTTCTGTCACTCCTGATGTAAATCCAGAATATAATCTTTCTCCTCCTAAAAACAACACAAATAATATTAAAAATGCACTTCTGGTGATCAAACTCTTGCTATGCATCAGACATGGTAAGAGGTTCTTTATGTGTAGTGTTATCTCAAACTTTCATGTCACCACTCAAGATAATTATTATACTAAATTTACAAACCAGGAATATAAGACTCATGTTCAAATAAAGTAGGTCAGTCAATATACACTGAGTGCCACTCTAAGCCAGGTGTTATACTAGATGCTGGGCACACGACACTGAACAAGACAGCATAGTTCCTGCCCTCCTGAAGCTTTTGGCCAAATTACAAGCTGATCACAAAGTGCAAAGTGTAGGTTGCTGTAAAGGGATAAAACAAGGTGTATTGCATGTGGTCTGTATCAGTATTCTTAATTTTTTATATCAGTCACCTGGAGAGCTTGCCGGTTTCTACTGCATCCCTGTCTCTTCTTCTCAAAGTTTTTATTTCATAGGCCAGAGTGGAAGCCAGGAACCTGCTCCCATTCTTTTTGTTTTGTTTTTATTTTCTGGTAAAGTATCCTCCTATATAATAAAAGAGTAAGCCCTAACCGGTTTGGCTCAGTGGATAGAGCGTCAGCCTGCGGACTCAAGGGTCCCAGGTTCGATTCCTGTCAAGGGCATGTACCTTGGTTGCGGGCACATCCCCAGTAGGGGGTGTTCAGGAGGCAGCTGATCGATGTTTCTCTCTCATCGATGTTTCTAACTTTCTATCCTTCTCCCTCCTTTCTGTAAAAAATCAATAAAATACACTTTTAAAAAAATAAAAGAGTAATATGCAAATCAAACGAACGGCTGAATGACCGGTTGCTATGAGAGCACTGACCACCAGGGGGCAGATGCTCAATGCACATAAGGTATACCAGTTAGATTTCTGGTTAAGGCACATGCCCAGGTTTGGGTGCCTATGGGGGGGGCAACCAATCAACGTTTTTCTCTCACATCAATGTTTCTCTCTCTCTCCCTCTCCTTCTCCTTTTCCCCTTTTCCTCTCCCTTACCCTCTCTAAAAATCCTTAAAAACATATTTTAAAATAAATAAATAAATTTTAAATTTTACAAATAAAATCAGTAAGAATGGGAAAATAACTTAAATCAAATACAAACAGAAAAAGGGGGAGCCTGACTATTTCAAATGAGAAACAACCACATTAAACAAAAAACTAATTTGAATATGAACACACTACTGTGATTATATACCATTACTCTAAAGAAAAAAAAAGCACAAGCAAATCTTGAACTCTACTAAGTAGGTTTATTTTTTAGTGATATGAGTGGAGCTATTCTGACAATATGTTGTGTGTAATATAATATGTAAAAACATTGAAGTTGCTGAGAACCAGGATTCTCACTGTGGAAGAAGGGAGCTACAAATATGAAATGAGGAAAAGTAAAGAAGAACTTTTGGGGGTTGTACTGGAATTGGAGGTACATATTAGTACAAATTTATCATTCACAAGATATATTCCTAGCTCTATTCACTAAAAGGACTAGAAATTAATGACACTTTAATATCAATGAGCACACCTAGTGCCAAATCTAGGTTGCTAAATGCCATCCCTAAAAGAAACTAAGGGTTCTTAGAGAAATGGCTGATTCCAGTGCTGAGGAAAGGAAAGTACAAGATGAGCCTTGAACATCTTGTGTCAGAAAATAAAAACGTGCTAAAAAAATTATGGAGACATCAAAAAAGACATACATATAAGCCAGCTGGAAGGGAATCCTACTGACCACATCTGGCATTATTGTTAATTAAAATAAATCCGAATGGATTATAATCTATTCGATTAATAAATCCATACTGATAATGAATAAATAGAGAAGATAAAATTTATCTTTACAGTAGAACATACACAATTAAATATAGAAAGAATAATAAAAAATAACCTTTTATGCAATTTTCAAACTAATAATCAATTTAGGCAAAAATCATCAATGGATACAAAAACTAGTGGGTGAAAGTTTGATAAAGAAAGGAAAATAAATAAAAACAAAAAAGTTTCATGAAAAACAGGATATTTACATATTTTCTATGTATTCTTCATGTTTTTAATTACAAGGGGAAAAATAGTAATTTTATAGTGTAGGAACTTGAAGGCCACTCCTTCAACCAAATTATTAAAGTTGGCATTACCAATCTAATATTACTTGCTTCCTATTAAGATGTCCTAAGAAGACACATCTGTTATGTAGTATTCCTGCCAGAGATACATAAACTGAATCTAATTATGAGGAAACATCAAGACATACAATTTGAAGGAACTTTTACAAAATAACTGTCTTGTACTCTTCAGAACTATGACAGAGCACAGACCTGTGTGGCATCAGAGGTTCAGTTACCAATCCTTCCACTTAGAATTGCCTGATCTTGATCTTTCAGAAGTCATTGAAGGATTCTTTACCACACTTACTTCATATGTAAAACTGCAAGAATAAAACTTAGTGAGAAATAAATTAATGCCATGAAAGACAAAGAAAGGCTGAGGAACTGTTCAATTTAATCACTGTGGTGTACACCTGAAACTAACATAATAATTTGTCAACTGTAATCGAAATAAATTATTTAAATAAATAAAAACCAAAAATAAAGAAAGCTTAAAAATAAAAAGTAAAAGGAGACTAAAGATACATGACAATTAAATTCAATACAAGGACCTGGATTGAATTCTGGATGGAAACATTGGAACAACTGGTAAAATTGGAATACAAGCTATATTGTATCATTATGACAATTTCTGAGTTTGGTAACTGTACTGTGTTATGTAAGAGAATATCTTATTCTTTCAAAATGAACCCTGATGTATTAATGGTAAAGGCCATGCATGTGTGTTATTCTCAAATGGTTCAGAAAAAAAGCAAGCACACACACACACACACAACACACACACACACACTTATACAGGGTGTCCCCCAAAATGTAAACACACTTTGAATAATTATTATTTCAAATGGGTTAAATCAGAAAGGAAAGAAACATCAATTGAACTATCAGCTGTTAAACTATGTATACATTTTTGGGACACCCTGTATATATATGTATTCATGTATAGAAATGCTGAGAGAGAACACATGTGGCAAAATATTAACAAGTTTTTATCTTGGTAATGTGTATACAGGAATTCTCCCCCATCAATGTTTTATTATGAAAATTTCCAAACATAAAGAAAAAGTGGCTCTAGCCGGTTTGCTAAGTGGTTAGAGCACCAGCCAGGGCACCCAGGGTTTTTGTGTTGGATTCCTGGTCCTGGTTGGGATGCATGCGGGAGGTAACCAATATACCTAGTATATCTCCCTCCCTCCCTCCTTCCCTCCCTCCCTCCCACTTTCTCTAAAAAGCAATGGAAAAAATATCCTCCGGTGAGAATTAACAAAAAAGAAAAAGTGGAAGAATTTTACTCTGAACACCCAACAAGTTTCTACAGTCAAGTTACGTTTGCTTCATCGAATATTTAACCACGAATTGTGTACTGTTTTTACTATTCTTGCAACTTTTCTCTAAATTTCAAATTGTTTCAAAAGTAAAAATTAAATGACTTAGTATCTAGTAATAGGGACAAAAAAAAAAATCAAAGAAGTGAAGGAAGTTTGGAGGGAACTGAAAGGACTAGTGTGGAGCAAGATACAAGCTCAAGCCTCTGAAGCTGGTGCCTTTGATGACTCAGTCTAACATCAATGCTTTAGCACTCCAGGGCCGTAAACCTGGCTTCAAGGTTGGGGGAGGGGTGTAACATAATTCATTTATAAAGCGTGAAACTACATTTCCCAAAAGGCCTTTATGTTTCCGCATTTTGAAGAAGTTACAATTCTATAGGTTTTCACAGTTCTCGCGAGATTTCAGTAAATCTCATTAAAGCGTCCTACTGAAAGCCATTTTGTTTTTCAGGTTTCTTCGCAAGGGTACTTGACTCAAAGTTCCAGCAACCGGCATCTACAGTTGCTGCGGTGTTGTCCAGCTTCACGATGTTTCCGTTGGCCAAAAATGCGCTAAGTCGTCTCCCAGGTGAGCAAAAATTGTGATCAAATCATTTCCAAGGGCCTTTTATCCATTTGTCCTCGTGGTCGCTTCTGCCCTTTCCCTCCACCTGCTTCCAGACCTTCTAATTGTAAGTGCTTAGTCTCCGAACTAATTGGGAAGATATCCTTACCATTAGCTTAATCACCGATTGTTTCTGTTACTGGGGTTAAAGCCTAGCTCTGCTTTTTCATTATTCAATAGTAATTTATGATTTCAGGGAAGAACACGTTTGGTGGACACCTCTTGTTCCTTAAGTAATTTCGTCAATTTTAGCTTTGGGGGGCACATTTACCCCTCCTCCTTTCAAATAGAAGAGCCTCCTCTCCAATTCCTGTAACCAAAATGGAGGAAGCGGTAAATCTAGCTCTTCATTTGGTTTCATCGCAGCGAGACGACCTAAGTGGTAGCCCCACAGTTTTTGTTATTTATAGATCATTTCTTATGTAAAAGTTAGGAGGGTACAGGGAAAATTTGAAAGCTGCATCACGTATTTAGAATGCATTAGATTGGAGAGAGTCATTTCCATGATTGATTTGCACTGAAGGTGACCTTGAGTAAAGTGAGTAGTTTTTTGTTTTGTTTTTACAATGAAACTGACCTTAAGCAATTATTTAGTTTTTTTAGCCATGTTTTTATTTTCCGTTTATAGGGCTGTTGGAGGTATAACTAGGCTGTCTTCTGAACACTCAAGCAGCTTTGACAATAACCAAAAAGTAGTTGCCTGACTTTTTTCGTAATCCAAAATGCCCACCTATTATCTCTTTCACATTGGGCAAAAAGCTGAACCTTACTTCCCTTCTTTGTAAAATAGGGGGTTAGTAAACAAAACCTACCTCATAAATTTCTTGAGGATTATATGAGATTTTTTTTATATGAGATTATTAATAGGTGGTAATGAAACCATTTCTTGTCAGAGGAGAACTCTAAAGAAATACTCTTTGGTGATCTGAATGTTGAGGTGTTGCAGAATTGTTTGATAATTTAATTTCTTTGCCCTTTGAGCTGATAGGGCTTTGTAACTCAGGAAAAGAATTTGTCTTTCTTGTGGTTGTTTTTTCCAATGTGGAATTCACAAACTCACTTTTTACTCTAGAGCAGAATATATTATGAAATGTTTGTAAGTTTGCTCATGCAAGTCGAATTAAAGGTGAAAAATATGTTAAGGCAGTTAAGAGAAGAAACCATTAAATTGGCAAGTAACTATCCAGAAATAACATACTGTATCATACAGAAGCGTTTATATACTAAAGTGTTAGTGAATGGTTGAGATTCCCGTTTCTTTAATATGCTTTCCATTAGTACATAAGTACCTTTTGAAGTTCTAAAACAATAAGGACCTACCACTTAGAATGGAGAGGAATTTAACAGCAGCTGGGAATATGCATTTTCCAGCCTTGGCTCTTTCCCAAGCCCTCCTAAGTGCCTCCAGAGGCAGTTTGAAAACTCATTCTACTAAAATAATAGTAAAAGCAAAGTTTTAATGTGGTAATTCTGCTCAAACAGTGGCCCTCCGTTTTACCCCCTATTGCTTGTCCATGCACCTCATTTGTCCTTTAACCAAATTTAACTAGTTTTCTAGTACACTAGGCTTTTCTGTCTGCCTTTTTTTCAGATTCCCCTTTCCTACATTTACATAACTAAATCCTACCTGCTATTCATAGTGCTTAACTAACATTCTACTTCCTTGTATTATAGTGATTTGTGTCTACATGCCTAATACGCTCCTTTAAACCTGAGGACCGAGTCTTTGTCTTACACATTTTCATATACCCCATTTTCTTTAGTATGGTAATGTATTCATTACTAATTATTTTAAAAATCAAGACTAGTTTTTGGAATTTTGGGGGGGCAATTTTAAGGTCATGAACATTTAGTGTACTTTCATTTGAAGTTCACTTTTAGTTTATTTACCCTTTTATGTTGTTAAGTTGTTGAGCACTGTTGAATAAACTTGAGTGAAAATTTGTCATAAATATTCAAATTAATGAATATAAGCCAAGTTTCAGTTGTGGTACAAATACTAGTTTGTAAAAAATCTTATTGACATCACCTGTTCTTTGTATTTTCCCCCCAACGTTTTTTTTTAATTGAGCAATCAATTTAATTTTTTTTACTATGCTTTTATCACTGACACTATTACATTTCCCCTCCCTTGCCCACCTCCGCCCAGACCCTGCCTCCCTTCACTCCCCCTGTTTTATTATGAAAACTTTCAGACATACAGAAAAGTTGGAACAGTTGTATGATAAACATCCACATACGCACAACATAGATTCTACAATTAACATTTTGCTATATTTGTTTTGTCATTTATCTATTCATCTGTCAATTCATCTTATTTCTGATGCCTTTCAAAGTAAGGTACTTTTAGCTATAATATGTTTTAACATTGTATTGAACTGCATAATACTATAGAGTTAACTTCCTTGACTTTCCTGTTTGCCAGTATCAATTACATACATTCTCTTTTCCTGATAATTCATAGATATGCTTCTGTATATTTTTTTCTTTAAGTTCGAAGCATTCAGCAAACAATGGCAAGGCAGATCCACCAGAAAAGGACACCTGATTTCCATGACAAATATGGCAATGCTATTTTAGCTAGTGGAGCCACTTTTTGTGTTGCTACATGGACATATGTAAGTACTGTTGATTGATAATTTCTGGTTTCTATGTTTTTCATTTCCATTTAGCTCATGTATTCAAAATATTTTCACATAGTAGAATTCATTTCTAGTTAGGAGGGACTTTAGAGATTTTCTAATGTAATAACACCCACCCAGTGCAAGAATTTCTCAGTATTTAGCATTCATTCATCATCTGTTTCTTTTTTGTATGTTTGTTAATTCTCACCTGAAGATATTTTTCCATTGATTTTCCCCCATTAATTTTTTAGAGAGAGTGGAAAGGAGGGAGGGAGGGAGGGAGAGAGAGAGAGAGAGAGAGAGAGAGAGAGAGAAACATTGATGTGAGAGAGACACATCAACCAATTGCCTCCCACACGAACCCCTATAAGGGCCAGGGATTGAGCCTGAAACCAAGGTATGGCCAGAATCAAACCCGGGACCCTTCAGTCTACGGGCTGACACTCTATCCACTGAACCAAACAGGCCAAGGCCATCATCTGTTCTTAACATTTCCAGTAACAAGTTGCTTACTGGATCATAAGGCAGCCCTTTCTGTGTTGTATAGCTGTTTTATTTTTTTTAAAATATATTTTTACTGATTTTAAAGAAAGGGGAAGGGAGAGGGATAGAGAGAAACATCAGTTACCTGCCTACCGCACACTCCCTACTGGGGATTGAGCTGTCAACCTGGGCATGTGCCCTAACCCGGAATGGAACCTATGATCTCTTCATAGATTGATGCTCAACCACTGAGTCGCCCTAGCCGGGCATTGTATAGCTGTTTTAAAAGGATTGTACGTTGTATTAAAATCTGCCTCCTGGCCCTAACCAGTTTGGCTCAGTGGATAGAGCGTCAGCCTGCGGACTGAAAGGTCCCAGGTTCGATTTTGGTCAAGGGCATGTGCCTTGGTTGCGGGCACATCCCCAGTAGGAGGTGTGCAGCTGATCAATGTTTCTAACTCTCTATCCCTCTCCCTCCTCTCTGTAAAAAATCAATAAAATATACTTTAAAAAAAAATCTGCCTCCTGCATATTCTGCCAATCATTCCATTGCAACACAGGGATTCTGATCTTATTTCCATGTATTAAGCATTAGATATTAGAAAAATTGCTATCATGTGTCCTGGATCTTCTCTTTAAGATTAAATACCCTTAGTTCTCTGTCATTTTTTTTATTATATAGTTTCCAGGGTTTTCACCATCTTGGGTCACCTTCCTTCACTGAATTAGTTTTTCTTCTAAAATTCTGCCTTCAGAACTGTGTACAATATTTATGATGGATGAGATATAAAATTACTTGCTTTCAATATTTTAATTTTTTTATATCATACATTTAACCTACTTACTAGTCACTGAACTTGCTGATTAAAAGTAGCAGTCTTGAAGTTATAATAAATATATAAGTTGATCTTATTTAATTTTATTTGTTTGTTTTTGCTTTTTATTTGTTAATCTTCACCTGAGGATATTTTTCTATTGATTGATAGAATGGAAAGGAGGGGGAGAGACACAGATAAAGGATGTGAGAGAGAGACATTGACTGGTTCCTTCCTGCATTCGCCCCAACCAGGGCCTGGGATTAAGCTGTAACAGGTATGAGCCCTTGACAGGAATTGAACCCAGGACCCTTCAGTCTTGGGCCAACGCTCTATCCACTGAGCCAAACTAGCTAGGGCTTATTTTGACTTTTTTTAAATAAGTTTTTACTTATTTTTTTAGAGAGAGAGATAGCAACATGGATGAGATTGGCTGCCTCCTACACATCCCCTACTGTGGATGGAGCCCACAACTTGGGCAATCTGCTCTGACCCAGAATGGAACTGGTGGCCTCTTGGTGTGTGGGATGACACTCAACCATCTCAGCCAAACCAGCCTGGCTATATAAGTTGATTTGGCTCAGTGGATAGAGCGTCAGCCTGCGGACTGAAAGGTCCTGGGTTCGATTCCGGTCAAGGGCACAATCCCCAGTGTGGGGCGTGCAGGAGGCAGCCAATCAATGATTCTCTCTCATCATTGATGTTTCTCTTTCTCTCCCTCTCCCTTCCTCTCTGAAATTAATAAAAATTGATTGATAAAAATTATTTGCCTTAATAAACAACAATACTTTAATAGGCCTTTTTCATTCTTGTTTTGATCTTCCCGAAATTGGATATACTATTAAAATGTGTGTGTACTTAATTAGAAGAAGAAACAGATGTTGAACAAATGTGTTATTGGGGCACTTTGGAGGTGAAGTCCTCCTTTATGAAGGGATATTATAGAAGTGGTCCTACGCGGCTAGTGGTTACTGTATTGGCCAATGCTGATACAGAACATTTCCTTCATATCAGGAAGTTCTATTGAACAGCATTGCTCTAGAGCAGCGGTTCTCAACCTGTGGGTCGCGACCCCGTTGGCGGTTGAACGACCCTTTTGCAGGGGTCGCCTAAGACCATCCTGCATATCAGATATTTACATTAGGATTCATAACAGTAGCAACATTACAATTATGAAGTAGCAATGAAAATAATTTTATGGTTGGGTCAGAACATGAGGAACTGTATTTAAAGGGCCAGAAGGTTGAGAACCACTGCTCTAGAGAATTAGTACAGCAATTAGAGGAGGGCACTATATCCCAATGAGTTTCTATTTCTTTTTCACTTATAGAGTAGAATACCTTTGTCACTTTTAAGAAATAGTCTCTAAGGGCGAGTGGGCTCTGGTTTAAACATGTATAACTGACAGCATTTTTTAATTACAGACAGCAACACAAATTGGAATAGAATGGAACCTGTCCCCTGTTGGCAGAGTCACCCCAAAGGAATGGAGAGATTAGTAACCATCCCAGTTGGTGTGATAATGAATTAATTTCAAAACCAACTCATAATTGATGGCAAGTGAAAGCACTGTATGCCCGTTAAAATATGGCATGATTGGAGAAATAAAGTACATTTGAAACCTTCATTGTAGGTTTGTTTCTTTTGTGAATGAAAGCAAGCTTGACCACTTTTCATTTATTTAACCTTTGTGTTAATAAAATAAAAATGCTATACAACTTCATAAATAACTTTTCTATATGAGGTAGTGTGAAAAGGAAAACTTGGCTATCACCTGGAAGTTGACTTTATAGTAAGCTGAAATTATAGTTCATAAATAAGTGATCACAGAATTATTTTAGGTAATCTTTGAGCTAAAAATTTGATGATATTCACATCCTGGTTATGTCTACTACTTCCTACCACCTATTTATGTTTATATTTGGAATGTGCATTATTAATTCCTTTTCACTTCTGCCAAGAGAACTTAGGGTGCCACTGGACCAAAGGTAAGAATGGTCTATCAAATGAACTCCTAGGAGGTCTGAAGACTATCTAATAGCTCCTTGGTTCCTGTGACACATTTATCTAAATTAGATCTTTTTAAAAATTTGTCTTTATTGTTGAAAGTATTACAGATGTTCCCTTTTTTCCCATTGACACCCTCCACCCTGCTTAATTAGATTTTTAGATTTTTCAGAATATTTATCAGAGATATTTACAAAAGGATCTGTCAAATACAGTTTTCACTTATCTACAATCATTGACCTCTGCTGTTGGCTTTCTGTAACTACAAACTTTTGGGTTTTGATCCTGAATTCATTATTACACTAGATTTTATATGTAAGCTATTAACTGAAGAAAACATATTTTACAACATGTGCTTTATTGCTTCTTGGTCAAATGCTGTAGAGTAAGCCTCAAGAAGTTTGTTGATACAGCTCAAGTAAGTAGAAAATGGAATTTCAGACACTTGAAATTGTATTAGCTAAATTAGAGATTTAAAAAATTAATTTACTTGATACTATTATCAGATAAGTGGCTTTTAGGAATCTCCAAATTTACCTAATGTAGATAAGGATTTACACTTAACCAAACATTTGAAATATTTTTATATGAAATATAGGTAGACCTTGGAGGTACTGCAGGTTCCAGGCTACCACAATAAAGTGAATATTACAATAAAGTGAATAACATGAATTTTTTGGTTTCCCAGTACACTTAAAAGGCATGTTTACACTGTACTGAAGTCTGTTAAGTGCCATAGTATTATGTCTAAAAAACAATGTACATACCTTTTTTAAAAATGTATTTATTGATTTCAGAGAAGAAAGGAGAGAGTGACAGAAATATCAGTGATGAGAGAGAATCATTGTTTGGCTGCCTCCTGCATGCTCCACACTTGGGGATTGAGCCTACAACCCAGGGATGTGTGTGCCCTGACCAGAAATGGAACTGTGACCTCCTGGTTCACAGGTTGATGCTCAACCTCTGAGCCATGCTGGCCAGGCCAATGTACATACCTTTTTTTAAAAAAGTTATATTTTTATTGATTTCAGAGAGAAAGGGAAAGGGAGAGAGAGAAACATCAATGATAAGAAAGAATCATTGATTGGCTGCCTTCTGCATGCCCCCTACTGGGGATTGAGCCCAAAATCTGGGCATGTGCCCTTGACCAAAAGGGTACCTGAGACCCTTCAGTCTGCAGGCCGGTACTCTATCTAGTTAGCCAAATTGGCTAGGGCTGTACATATCTTAATTTAAAAAAACCCTTCATTGCTGGCCTTGGCAAGGTAGCTCAGTTGGTTAGAGAGTCATCCTGATACACCAAGGTATTGGGTTTGATCCCCAGTCAGGTCACATATAACAACCAAGCAATAAATGCATAAATAAGTGGAACAACAACGTTTCTTCCTATCTCTAAAATTAAAAAACTAATTAAAAAATACTTTATTGCCTTTAGCATGTCATCTTTGCTGGCCTTGCCCTGATGCTGATTGCTGACTGAGCAGGGTGCTAGTTGCTGAAGGTTGGGGTAGCTATGGAAATCCTATCTAATAAAAGAGAAACATGGTAATTAGTGTACGACCGCTACCCTTCCCATTGGCTAATCAGGGCGATATGCAAATTAACTGCCAGCCAAGATGGCGGCCGACAGCCAGGCAGCTTAAACTGAACATGAGGCTTGCTTGCTTCAGTGACGGAGGAAACCAACATTCCCCGCCTGCCTTGCTGGTCTCTGAGCTTGCAGTTGAAGAAACATTGTAACAAATATAGAAGCTAAATAAAACCCCAGAAACCTGCTTTCAGCTAGCCCGGGATCTCAGAGCTGGACTTATACATTGTTTCGATAATAGAACACAAATAAACCAGATACCTGATTTCAGCAGCAGCAGAGGCCTCAGAGCTGGAGCCAGAGCTAAAGCTGGCCCAGAATAAATAAAAAAAAAAGGAAAAAAGGAGCAGTTGGGAGCTTCAGCCCTCAGCCCTTCACCCAAACTGGCCAGGAACCCCAGTGGGGACCCCCACCCTGAAGGGTGTGTGACCAGCTGCAAACAGCCATCATCCCCTCACCCAGGCTGGCCAGGCACCCGAGTGGGGACCCCCACCCTGATCCAGGACACCCTTCAGGGCAAACCAGCCAGCCCCACCCATGCACCAGGCCTCTATCCTATATAGTATAAGGGTAATATGCCTCCCGGCACTGGGATCAGTGTGACAAGGGGCAGAGCCCAAACCCCCTGATCGCCCTGCGGCTCTGTGTGTGACAGGGGGCGGGGCCACAACCTCCCTATCCGCCCTGCTCTGTTTGTGACAGGGGCAGGCGCCCCAACCCCCTAAGCAGCCCTGCTCTGTGCCTGATAGGGGGGAGCTCCCCAACCCCCCGATCGCCCTGCGGCTCTGTGTGTGACAGGGTGCGGCACCCCCCCCCCCCCACAGGCCCTGCTCTGTGTGTGACGGTGTAGAGCCATAACCTCCCCATCGGCCCTGCCCTGAGTGTGAGAGTGGCGGCACCCCAACCCCCTGATCGGCCCTGCTCTGTGGGTGATAGAGGGCGGCGCCCCAACCCCCTGATCCGCCCTGCCCTGAGTGTGACAGGGGGCGGTGCCCCAACTCCCCTATTGGCCCTACTCTGTGAGTGACGGGGGGAGCTCCTCAACCCCCTGATCGGCCCTGCTCTGTGCGTGACAGGGGCCAGCGCCCCAACCCTCTGATGGGCCCTGCTCTGTGCATGACAGGGTAAGGAGCCCCAACCCCCCTGATGGTCCCTGCTCTGTGCGTGACGGGGTGGTGCCACATCCTCCCCATTGACCCTGCCTTGGGTGTGACAGGGGGCGGTGCCCCAACCCCCAATCGACCCTACCCTGAGTGTGACTGAGGGTGGCATTGCAACCTCCCAATCTGCCCTGCTCTGTGCATGATGGGGCGGCACCCCAACTCCCCAATCGGCCCTGCTCTGAGCCCGACCAGGGGCTGCACCTAGGGATTGGGCCTGCCCTCTGCCACCTGGGAGCACGCCTAAGCCAGTAGGTCGTTATCTCCCGAGGGGTCCCAGACTGCGAGAGGGCACAGGCCGGGCTGAGAGACCCCCCCCTCCCCCCCCGAGTGCACAAATTTTTGTGCACCGGGCCTCTAGTTCTTTAATAATAAAAGTGTAATATGCAAATTGACCAAACAGCAAAACGACCTTCTGGATGACCACACTATGACACCCACTGGTGCCAGGTCAGCCAAGGCAGTTGCGATGTGATTGGTCGGGGGCCTGGCCATTTCCGCATGATAGCCCTACAGAGGGAGGCCAAGGCCACTGGCTGGCAGGGCGATTGATCAATTGGGGGGCTCAATGATTGCCCCAAAGAGTGAGGCCCAGGCCACCGACTGGTGGGCTATGGTGGGTTGGTGGGGCCTCTGTGGGGGTGATTCATCATGGAGCCCTCGCCAGGTGGGCAGGGACTACCTCTTTGGGGCGATCGATGGCGGAGCCCTGGCCAAGTGGGCGGGGCTCACCTCTGGGGCGATCTATCGTGGGGCTCTGAGGGACACCCCCTCCCCCCCCGCCGATTGCATGAATTTCTGCACTGGGCCTTTAGTCTATATATATAAAAGGCTAAGTGACCGACCGTCTGACCAACCGGCTGGTACATATGACACGCACTGGCAGTCCTATATAATAAAAGGCTAATATGCAAATTGACCAAATGGTGGAACAACCGATTGCTATGATGGGCACTGACCACCACGGGGCAGACGTTCAACACAGGAGCTTCCCTCTGGTGGTCAGTCCAGCCAGAAGCTGGACTGATGGCTGGTGAGTGCAGCTGTGGTGGCGGGAGCCTCTCCCGCCTCCGCAGCAATGATAAGGATGTCCAACTGATGGCTTAGGCCTGCTCCACAGGTCCTAAGCCGTCAGTGGGGCATCTCCCAAGGGCACCCAGACTGCTAAAGGGCGCAGGCTGGGCTGAGGGACCCCCTCCTCCAGTGCATGAATTTTCACGCACTGGACCTCTAGTTTAAAAATAAATGTTGACTTGTGCAATACATATAGAGCTCTTGCTGGCACCAATTGCACACATGTGTTTTGATCTGTCATTATCGATCATCAATTTGGTTGTTTTTGTTGACATTCTGAAGCTGAAAGAAAGTGGTGTTGTGGACAGAATTTGTCTGAAGACCAACTATTGGCACAACATACCTCTGAAGCCAAAAGAAGCCAGCAAAAAGTTGAAAACAGACCTGACTTGGTAGCCAGGGTTTTTAATATTAAGCTGAATGCTCTTTTAAATGATATATATATAAATTCAATTAATTTGGCAAAGTAATAGCTAAAATTCATGTCATAAATAACAAGGACAAACTCTAGAGTAGGAATATTCCTACCTGAATCCGTTTTTGGACATGGTCAGTTATATGTTGCTTTTTCTTGAGTTCAAAGAGCGTGTGGCGTTAAAGTTGTAAATATTTCATCACATGGGAAATTAGTCAAGCACTTTGAAAGTGTTTTTATTCTTAATGTGGTATACAGGGAGATATTCGAATAAGTTTAATCAAATTTTTTTAAAATTCTGTTTTATTGCTTAAAATATTACAAAGAGTAGTACACATGTCTCCTCCCCCCCCCCCCCCTTGACCTTCCCCCGGCCTCCCCTA